GGATCGCTAGCTACTTGAGATGCTTGGTGACTGAAGAGGACCAAGCCGCAATGGATGCGGTGGGAGCCGCTTGCCTGTTCAACGAGGCCCAGCATGCTCTGAATCGGGTAACTTCGAGGGCCATTCCATTATCTTTTTTAAATTTTGAGTTGTAGATAACTCTAATATTTTCTCTCTTACTTGTAGGCTTCGGTATTGCACCACGAGGCATTCCTTCAAATCCGGGAGGAGCGCAAGGCTGAGGTTCAGGACCTCACTAAGAAAAGCGATACCTACAAGCTTCTCATTGAGAAGCTTCTGGAAAATTTGGTAATGGCTCGAGATGAGCATGCTGAGATGGCCGAGCAGGTATTCCCAGTGCTTCACGATAGTGAAGATGAGTTGGAGATAACAACTAACGATCTGATTTTGCAGGTCCGTTAGAGACTCGAACGGATCAAGGACCTTCAGAGACAAATAGATGACATACGAGCTAAAGCTGAAAAGTTTAAGGGGTGTATGGGCATCTTAGCTTCAAAAAAGGAGGCCATCCAAGCAAAGCTGGAGTCGCCCGAGTCTCAGCCTCGAGCTGCAAGGGAGAAAGCCTCGGCGCAGGCCACGAAAATCGAGGAGCTCCAGTCCCAATTAGATTTGGTTCTCTCCGATAAGGAGAATTTGGCCAACGAACTCGAGATGGCCAAATCTTAGGTGGCCATGGCCAACACTAAAGCTGATGCTGAAGTGGCCCAATTTAAGGTTGACGTCGAGGCCATCCAAGTGAAGTCCAAGAGTATGGTGAATTATGCGAAATGGAAAGCTCGAAGGGAAGCCCTCGAGGAGGTTTAGGCTCAAGGTTTCGATATTGTGGCCGAACTCGAGACTGCCAAAGTAGAGGAGACCAAATCCTGGAAGCTGACCTTTCCTGAGGAAGACTCCGAGAGCCTAAGCGGATTCGAAAATGGGGAAGATCCAGAGAATGGAGATGTTGCCTCCGACGAAGACTAGGCTACTCAGGCCTTTGTATTTTTGCTTTCTTTTGTATCTTTTTAGAGGCCATTTTGGCTGTTGTAAATTTTGTATTTGGACGTATATATATAAGTCTTTCTACCCTTTTCGACTCTCAAACTTTTCCTTTGTTTTATTGCTTGTATTCACAAAGGTCAGAGTGTCTTAGCACAAAACATCTTAAGTTGTATATGTTTGAACAAATCATGCCTTCACATTTTTTTAGTTTTGGGGCACTTTGGATTCAGTGTCATCAGGAACTTTCTCCCGAAATAAGTAATTTCAAAATATAGTTTTGCCGAGGGTTAGCCTTTAGAACTGGTTATGTAAATTTTGAAGGCCTATTTTTGTTACGATTTTCGGACGTCTCCGAGCCGTGCTAATATGGCCGTGGCCTTTTAATTTTGGGTGTAGCCTAGTGGGCTTCCTTCCCCCAATTATCCAAGCTTGCCTAAGATAACAGTCCCCAAGTGGGTATGATTGTGGCCTTTAACATTCGGGGGTTGCCTGATAGGTCTTGCATCCCCGATATTTTAATAGCTTGATCTATTTATAAGTTGGTTTCCGAACGACAGTCCCCGAGTGAGGGAGTGACCATCCGAACTTTGATTATAATCAGCCCTTGAGCCCATTTTCTTAAAAGATCGAAAGTACGGGATTGTAAAGTTGAAATTTTTCCAAGACATAAGATAGTTGCAAGGAAGTACTTCTCTTTATTCTCGTCAAAAATAGTCACACATGCGTACATGTTTTATGTCAGGGCTCGAGCAATCTACGTGGGCACGGTTCGTTTTGATCGTTTGGCCCTTATAGTAAATCTTACCTATCAAGACCGTTCCATTTCGAAATAATTTCCTTGCTAGAACAATTCGATATCCGAGTGTAATCCCCCCAGTATTCGAGGTTGATTTTAGAGAAATCTAGGATACTGTAAATACAATTTTTGATACCGATTTGTGAACGGCCTTTGATTCTAAGTTATCACGATCCACTGTTGCCTCGTTAAAAACCTCGTCGGAAAACCCATTTGGGACAAAACCGGTCTAAGGAAAAAAGAGTACAACGCGTGCTTTCAGACCTA